GTATGTATACAACTATTTCTGCTGCCAGATCATACATCCTGCTACTTATTATTTATATCTGTTATGAGATTTACAAAGACTAGATATATGTGTGAGTCCTTTTTTCAAAAGTATATTGAATATTTTATTCACTCAATTCCACCTCCTCCAAAATTAAGCTCAAATGATGTATGGTCCTCTACTACATTAAGATCTAAAGTCAAAGATCTCAGCGAGCAGCTACAAAAAAAAAAAAATGAAAGACAATGCCTTTTGCTTAGCTTCAAACTAATGAAGTATCATTAAATCATTAAAGGATGCATAGAGGCTGAAACAAAAACTAATGAGTTAGGATGCAAAAAAGAATTTGTGGCACAGAAAAGTTTAGAATAGGAGGCTAAAAAGCGCAAATAGAAAAAAAGGTTAATAGATAAAAAAGGAAAAAATAACTTAGCTGCTATAGATCTGTAATCTGTTGCTCAACTTTCTGATAGTTATTTTTCTAATTTGAATAAATGGCATTATACATGGCATACCATTTTTTTTGGGCATACTATTTTCAGAAAACTTGGTGCAAATTTAAATAAATAGCATGCTATAGCATGCCATTTTTTTTGGGTATGCTACTCAATATTACATAGTGTTATACATATATAATGTTAAATTTACTTTCTAAAAAATGATTTATATTGTACTAATATATACAAGAATTAAATGTAATTTCAAGATTGAAATCTATTTTTAATAAATCTAAGATCTTATACTTTCTCTTTTATATTGTAATTCAAAATAATGTGTATATTAAGAAATAAACTGTGCAAAAATTCTAACTCTAAATGCTGTAGTGAAAAAAGTATGCCTAAAAGTAAGGTTATATACAAATGAATCATATTCTAACTAGTAAAAGAATAATAGGTATACATAATAAAAAAAACTTTTATTCAAATATTTTATTTCATTACTAACGTATACTAATTACAATTTTATGAAATTTTAGATTGAAAAAAAATATCATCAATTGACCAATCTTCAGCACTAATAAGAGTTGCTAAACTTGAACTTTCATTAATAACTTCTTGATCTTGTTTAAAAATACTAATATCAAAAAATTTATCTATTCCTAACTCATCATTTATAGTAATACTTACCTCTTTGATATCAAATTCTAAAGGCTCTTCAAATCCTTCTTCCTCAAAGAAAAGATCAATATCAAAATTTTTGGTATCTGTCACATTCGAAAATTTATAGATAAAATTGGATCTTTAGTTTTTTTTTTAATGTTTTAGATAGTTTTTGTTAAAGATTATGGCAAAGCATCCTAAGCATTTTCATTAAATTAATAGATATTCTGTTTCGAGACTTTGTTTTTACTAGTCTCAAGCTAGAAAATAGGTTTTCGATGGCTACTGCATGTGGAATAATTGAAAAAATTTTCACAGCAAATTATTGTAGAAGTAGAAACCTCCAGAA